GTCATTACTTATGTAGACAGCATAACAAGTCAGAAAAAATATGTTACAAGGAAACTTCTTGGAATCCTGGCAAGAAGAGGAGACGAAAAGGGAACAGTTGTTTATAAACAAAGGGAAAGGAGACGACATTGCCTTAGCATCTTTGACTTTGTGACTTTTTATTGCATAATTGATTAAAATGACCAGTCCAATTTCCTGGAAGCCTGAAAGCGGGTTATACTCTGCCTAGGGAAAAACCACATATATTATTAGCTCTGTGGCCTAAAAGAGTTCACAAGCTAGTCTTGAATAGCCTGTGTTCTGGAAATGCTCATGATGGAACTCTGCAAAGTTCTTTCCTTGAAGAAACTCAAAGCACTTTGCAAATTAAATTAGGAAAGTGTATGCAACTCTGTATGAAAAAAATCATGTTTACATACCATATTGGTATTAGAATTTATCACTTTACAAAGAAAGATCAATACAATTCCTTTATTTATTTATTTTTTTAATACAATTCCTTTAAACTGGGTGTTCAGTGAAAGCATTTAACATATAATTTCATTTCCAGAGTATTCCATCCCAACTCCTCTCCTATATAAGTTGCTTATAAGATCAGTTTTTTTTCCAAAGGATTAAATACTTGAGAGTAGTGGCTGAGAATCAGTACCTTTTTCCTTCAGTTTCCTCAAAGTGAATATAGCTTCATGAAGAAGAATGAAGACCAGTGGTTAAGTCAGTGACTTAAAAAAAAAAAAAAAAAAGGAAAACACAGCTTTTCTTACTCAGAATTTACCATAACGAAAAAGGCCACTGGACTGTCATTAATGGTTTTAAGTTAAAGCAGAAATAAGAAAACAATTTATTTAGTGTTGAAAGAAGGTTTAGTGGTTGCCTGCTGCCAGCCTCCACTTCACAGACAAGGAGAACAAGTTCAGGAAGACTGCTTCTTACCCAAGTTGTCCTAACCAGTGAGTGCCCAACTGGAATGAAAATCCCACCTCCAGACTGACAGGCCTGCACTCAGAGGCTGATTCTGAAATATCAATGCAACAAGCAGCTAAATACCTGTAGACTAGGAGAAAGAACTGTTGGTCGGAATGTGTCGTTAGGCAAACCATTTGGACCTCAGTGGACCTCTTTCATTACCCGTACAATGAGGCTGAATATTGCCTGCCCTGCCCAGTAGGCAGATACTTGGTTGGGAGATCAAACGAGATAAAGTCTATGAAACCTCTTAAATGTTGAAGCACAACATAAAATACTAATAATAATCCCAATTTGTTGAACACTTGGGACATGCCAAGCATTGTGCTAAGCATCCTTTCATTATCATAGCACACATTATCACAGGCAAGAAAACCATTACCTTCTTTGCATATATGAAAGTAAGACTTTGGTTAAATAGCTCACCCAAGACCTCATGGATTTGAACCAAATCTAGCTGACCCTCATACTTGAGTATTTAATTATCAATAGTACCATACAATAATCATGCTATAATACTATATCATGTAATACAATAATACTATATTATATTACTACAGTATATCAAATAGTATAACACATATATAGTGTATATTACTATATTATTATAGCATATTGTATATCACTATACTAGTATCTGTATACTATTATATAATACCATTAGTACTACATATAATACATATAATATTACTAATATAATATATAGTATTATTATATAGTAATATAATAATACAATAATAGTATAATAATACTGCATTACAAGATACATGGTTAATAGTAATACTTAACATTGCATACACATATTGCCAAGGAGGAGATATTTATCCTATATGATTCTACATCATAACAACAAAATATGTTTAGTATTTTCCTGATTTTTCACAAGTAATTATAAATGATTGCCCTTTAAACTATTTCAAGCATATAGTTGTATTATTTTTAACAAACTGTAGTGCCACCCCCTTTAAAAAATGAATTAGGGAGAAAATAGCTTTTGTGATATACAATATGCTATAATAATATAGTAATATACACTATATATGTGTTATACTATTTGTTATACTATAGTATTATAATATGGTATTATTGTATTACATTTTATAGTATAGCACGATTATTGTATGGTACTGTTGATAATTAAATACTCAAGTATGAGGGTCAGCTAGATTTGGTTCAAATCCATGAGGTCTTGGGTGAGCTATTTAACCAAAGTCTTACTTTCATATATGCAAGATTTCAGGGGCGCCTGGGTGGCTCAGTTGGTCAAGCATCTGTCTTCTGCTCAGGTCATGATCCCTGGGCCCTGGGATCCAGCCCCAAGCTCAGCAGGGAGTCTGCTTCTCCCACTCGCTCTGCCCCTCCCCTTGCTTGTGCTCTCTCTCACTTACTCTCTCAAATAAATAAAAAACCTTTAAAAAAAAAAAGCCCCAAGATTCCAATAATTTATTTTTTTGTCTAGGATGGGTTTTTAAAAATATTTTTTGGGGCATTTGGGTGGCTCAGTTGGTTAAGCGTCTACCTTTGGCTCAGGTCATGAACTCTGGGGTTCTGGGACATGATCTGGGGTCCTGGAATTGAGCCCTGCATGGGGCTCCCTGCTCAGTGGGGAGCCTGCTTCTCCCTCTCCCTCTGCCCCTCCCCCTGCTCATGCTTTCTCTCTCACTCTCTCTCTCTCTCTAAAATAAATAAAATTTTAAAAAATATTTTTCTTGAATATGAATTTTAAAAAATTAACTTGTTAACATATTGAATTTAAGTAAATGTAACCTGTCTTAGGTCTTTTTATGATCATGTAAATTGAAAATTGCAATGCGCTGTTCAGATTGGGCTCCATTTACAACTTCTGGAAACTCACTGAAATAACCTCCTCACAGAATATAACGATCAGCTTCTGTTTTGGATTGACACTCAATTAACTGATTTCCTATTTGTTTTCACTTTTTAACAAGTTGTGACATTTGAAGATAAATGTCTAGTCTTTTACCGTTACTGAAGAGCCCTTTGGTTTACTCAAGTGTATGTATGGGGGGGATGCTCAACTTTTAAAAACTTTTGTCATTTTTGTTTCAACTATGACTAAGATGTAAGTCTTTGGTGAGTAACTGGCAACTCCTACCTGTTTACTCCCTCCCCTTCACCAGGGGTAATGAGGACATCAAGAGTTTTAGTGTTTAAAATATATTATTCTTTGTATTCACCTCATCATTAAAACAGAACAAAAATCACTTCTAGCAGATCAATATGACAAATGAGTAAACCAGAAGATGGCGTTGAAGATTAGCAATCACATTTTAAAGCAAGGTAGATGTGAAGTCTCAGAAAGTTTCATACAATGACTGTTGTTTTGCACTTCTAAAAGTAGATAAGTGAAGAAAATGTTGAAACTAAACCTGGTGCAGAAGACACCGGGAGGAAAGGCAAAAAGCTCATTTGCCATTTTTGATCTTAGCAATCTCTTTCTGTTTGTTGAGGACACTTTGGGGTAAAGTAACCCACTGATTAAAATGTAATCAACATGAAGGCAGTGATGTTTGCTGTGTTCACTTAAGTATCCCAAGTGCTTACAACAGTTTCTGACATGTGGCAGGTGCTCAAAAAATATTTGTTGAATGAATGAATCTGTGAAAGGAAAAGAAAGGAAGAAAAACAGGTTGTGACTAGAATTTTCTTTGAACAAAACTTTGTTGTTTATTACATAGACTCTGATAATGGAAAACTTGCTTGGGTGAATAAAAATATGGCATCCTGTTAATTTCTGAGAAAGTCCGTTAGTTTTAGGAAAAGCATACCTAATCTGTGCCTCACTGCCTGTTTTACTCTAGCCTAATTTAGTTTTTTTCTTTGGATAGGAGACATTGACCTAACATGTAAGTTTAAAAGAGAAAAACTGAGAAGTAAGTGAAATCAAAAGCTTTTCAAAAGTTGCAAGTTGACCTAGGGTGGTGGTGGTCTAAAATCATACAGAAACCGGTGATCTGACGGTTTACCTGAAATTGCTAAGTACATAAACATGCTGGAAGCATACAAGATGTTCTGGTGAAAGCTTAGTGGGCAGATGCACAGGGAGTTAATTTTAATATTAAGGACATCTTGGAAAATTAAGTAAAATCTCAAGTCTTTTTAAATATTATTTCTATTCTGGACATTTATATCTCACTAGAAAATTGCTTCCTACCAGACTGATGCTAAAACTATGTCATTTTAAGGTGAACTGAAGTCCAGAAGCAATTAAGCATTTGGATACTTCGAGACCCCTCCCCCAACTCTTTCATGTTGCCATAACTGAAACTTTGGGGGCAATGCATTGTCTTTCTGAGTAACCTCAATTCACCAGTTTAATAAATGCAAAAGTCTGTGAGCATTTCAAACATATGGACAGACATTATTTGAGCCACAGTTTATAGCTCAAAGTATCCGAGGCGCGATTATTGCTAATTAATGAGTAGGATGTTCTCTAGGACTCTTCTCTAGGAAGGCAGGGCTTTCAGCAATAGCTGCGATTCCAAGGGTGCCCGCAACCCACCCACAATTCTACGATGTGGACAATTCCTCCGTTTTTGGTTACATGCTCTTCAAGTGAAGTCCCCCTCATCCAGATTCCCGCTCCTACACGCCCCCACTTCCCGTCCTAACCACATCGCAGTTGTTTAGCTGTTATTAGTTATTATCAACCGGCCTCCCGCAGGACCTGACGCTGAGGCGAGGTCCCCATTTCGCGCCTTGCCCTTTGCAGGAAACCTCCCCACATTAAGGTCCCCGAGGCCGCGCACGCCCAACTCGAGGTGCGCTCGCCCCCGCGCAACGCAAGGTGGATCGCAGCGGGCGCTAGGGCCCCCAGCCTGGCCGCAGCAGACCCCCCAACACACGCTCCTTCTAGTCTTGGCCCTGGGGCTCTCCCGCGGCGCCCCAGTCTCCGCTCACAGCGCCCCCCTGGCCCCAACCCGGCAGGCGCTTTCGTACCCGCCCCGCCCCGCCCCAGACTCCGCCCCAGCGGGCTTTTAAGCTTTATAAGTTCCTCTTTCCCACCTCCGATACTTAGTTTCACCACTTGAACTTGGGACCCACTGCTGCCCTCAGCTCCGAGGTGGGGGCGAGGTAAGGCTTGGGATCGGGAAGGAGAACGGATGTGAGGCTGGCACAATAGAGAACCAGGAGCGCGAGACTAGAGGTCCGGGGGTCCATCTCGAGGGCAGCGCAGGGGACCCCAGCTTAGGACCCGAGAGGGAGCATGCCCCTTGAAGGAGCCCCAACTCCCACTACGTCTGCTCTGGGCCCGGGGACCTTTGTGTGGGCTCTGTGGAGGGCCAGCTGGGACAATGCCCAAGCATTGCCCTCACCACCCTGTGGTTCGGCCCCGCCCAGGCCCGGGGAGGCCACGCGCTGGACGGGATGAGATAAAGAGGCTGTCAGGGCCCCAGGAGTGGCCAAGGCGGGGCCATCGAAAGGACCTACACAGTACGGCAGGCTTTCCTGAGGGAGGACAGCCTCTTACTCTAGAGGCTTCAATCCAAGGCTTCTTATCCTGCGGCCCTTAAGGGCCCAAACTCACCTTGGCCTCCCGCGCATTGCTCCCCGACTGGTGGTGGAGGAGGAGGAGCTCCGAATTTGGGCCACTTGGGGCCCCTGCGCTCTGCTGCCTCAACCCCGTGTCCTCTGAGAACCCTCCTGGCATCCTCCCCGCCTCCACTCTCTCTCGCGGGACTCCGGGGTCCGGCTGATGCTCTGCGCGCCAGAATCTCCCGCTATTCGGCTGCGCTCCTCGCCTCCGGCCAGGTCTTTGCCGCGTGTTGCTCCACGGCCCACTTAATCCTTGCTAGCGGCCGAAGGCTCACGGATTCTCTTGGGGCAGAGAGTGCAGGTGTGGGAGAAGGCCCGAGCAGGAGTTGCTGATGCTGAGCACCTGGAACGTCCAGACCGCAGGCGTTCGTTCCCACGTGCGAGATTCTTGGCGCTGGGGGCCCACCAAAGGAGTGGGCAAGGGTGGTAACTGACAATGAAGGGAGAAATGTACTGGCAACGGTTTGGGAATGGGCAAAGAAGAGCGGGAACTAAGAGTGAGCACGCAAACGTGCCAAAGTGTGGTGGTGGCTGGATTTCGCAGTGTGCACAAAGGCAAGAGTTGTGTTGCCTGGGCAGCGTTTGGCCTGTGGGGTGTGCAACAAGAATGGAGAGTCCAGAAGGTGGGGTAGGAGGATGAACTCCGCGGGAGGCACGCTCGGGAGGCTGAGGACTGGGCGTGCCAAGGGGATGAGACCGGGCCAGCTGAGAAGGTGCTTTCTCTCAGGGGCCTTTGGCGACACCGACTTTTACAGAGCGCTCCTAGTTGTCTCGGAGACTCCAGGGCCTCGTGGTCATTGTCAGAAGGGTTTGAGAAGGGTGCTCCGAGCGCTGTGCTGGGGTGGCTAAAGGCTGGCCCTCCTCTCTGCCGCGCAGAGCGAGTGCAGGAGGCGGATCCTGGGCGCGTGAGGGCGACAGTCAGCGCGCTGGGCATGAACCTGGAGGGCAGCGGCCGAGGCGGAGAGTTCGGCATGAGCTCGGTGAGCTGCGGCAACGGGAAACTCCGCCAGTGGCTGATCGACCAGATCGACAGCGGCAAGTACCCAGGGCTGGTGTGGGAGAACGAGGAGAAGAGCATCTTCCGCATCCCCTGGAAGCACGCGGGCAAGCAAGACTACAACCGCGAGGAGGACGCCGCCCTCTTCAAGGTTACCTGGCACGAGGGGAACCCAGCCAAAGTGGGGGTGGAGGGAAGGCCCCAGAGAGCTTGGTGGATCCCTAGCCCAGACTCCGTGGCGATCCCCGTCCGCGCCTGGCGGTTCTCAGAGGAAAGGGGACCGCGAGGGAAGGACCGGATGGGATGAGCTCCGCAGGGCGGGCGGTCCGGGAGCATCAGGTGGCAATCCGTAGAAGCTGGGGGAGGAGAGAGGTTTCAACCTTTGTAGTGTTTTTAGAAACGGGGGACCAGGTACCAATCCTGAACGTGTGGCATGAGCAGTACCGGGGAGTCAGATGGCTCCAGCAGCAGGGAAATAGATATCTGGCAGGGAGAGCAGCGCTGACTTGAGTGTTCCTGTTTGCATTCATGTGGGTTCTTCTGTCTCCATCGGAGCCTCATTCTGTACCTCTGGATACCACCGTGCCTTCTTTGATCAACATGTGTCTCTCTTTGTCTCCCTGTTTCTTTTCTGTGAGCACCCTTAGGTGTGCTTGAGTTTGTCTCTGTTTTCCTGTCCCTCTCACTCACTACCTCTGTCTGTCTTTCTCTGTTTCACTGTTTTTCTCTGGAGGTCTTTCTCTCCGGATATTTTTCTTTTTCTTTAGTTCAATCTCTGTTGGGCTCTCTGTCTTTCTAGCTCTCTTTGATCCATCCATACGTGTTTCTCACTATCTCTGTTTCTCTCTGATTCCCTCTTTCCAAGTCTCTCTCTAGACATTTTTCTCTAGCTCTCTCTCTCTCTCTCTCTCTCTCTCTCTCTCTGTGTGTGTGTGTGTGTGTGTGTGTGTGTGTGTGAGATGATTGTTTTCCCCTAGAGCAGTTTACCCAATGAACTGAGCATTAGGTTCTGCCCACCACCTGCGGGCAGAACAGGCGAAGGGGACTTCCTCTGGAATTTGCTCTCAGAATATCTGACCATTCAGATGTACTCTATGGGTAGCAGCTCACCCCTAGTTCCAGTGGAACTCACTTCAGACACTGTGAGGGGAGGGGGTGGTTAGGGCCCCTTTCCAGGGACCCTCCCCATCTCACCTACCTCTTATAAATACCTAGAGAATGCTCAAACCATTTGTTTTCAATTCAGCAAAGATAGAGTCCAACAGGGAAAGTATTTTACCTAGTGGAGACCTGGTGTCTTTCTGTCCCATGTTTTGAGCAACAATATAAATCTGAGGCACCTAAGCATCATTCTTTCCTTTAGAAATACAATCCTCGGGTTCTTTTTTTTTTTTTAAAGACCTATATTTTAACTTTTTTCCTCCGCTTCTTTTCCACAAGGCTTGGGCACTATTTAAAGGAAAGTTCCGAGAAGGCATAGATAAGCCAGACCCTCCTACCTGGAAGACCCGTTTGCGATGTGCTTTGAACAAGAGCAATGACTTTGAGGAACTGGTAGAGAGGAGCCAGCTGGACATCTCAGACCCCTACAAAGTGTACAGGATTGTTCCTGAGGGCGCAAAAAAAGGTGGGACTTCCTGGACTGGGGTCACAGAATATAGCCTGCCTTCCTCCTCCTGCCTCATGTTCAAGTCCAACAGGCTCTTTGCCCAAGTTCTCAGGGTCATAAATTGAAATTCTTGTGGTATTAGTGTAGGATGATTTCTCAGATTCCAACTCTCTACCTGTGGGTGTATGCACATGCATGTGTGTGCACGTGTTTTTAAGTTAGTTCTATTGGTGTAAGATATGGGCCAAATTTTTCAAACAAAATATGGAAAACTTGTTCAGAGATTTATCTTTATTTATCAGTGTTTCATGATTAACCATTCTGTAGAAAGGAAGCATACCTATATCCATATATTGTTACTCTTTATAGTAATAAAAATGTCAACTTTTAGAGTATACTGTGGTCAGCTTGGAGGCTTTCTGAAATTCAGATCTTCTCTTTCCAAGTTTCTGACCAGTGTGTCAGAGTAGAGCCCAAGAATCTGCATTTAAAACAAACCATACAAATTACTATACTTGTGGAACATCTTGCTGGTGGGGCCCTTTATGTGACAAAGTGCATTCACACACAGCATTTCATCTCCTTCTGTACCTGTCCTACATAAGTCAGACCTTATAGAAATCAGTTTAATGGCCTGAACAAGTAATTGCCCATGGGAATTGCTAAAAAAAGTGCCTTATTTGTCAACACCGTTATGCATTCTAGGAATTAAACTCTCAGGTATTTTTCTAAGATTTCACTTTTAGTTATGACAGTTCCTTTTTTTCACACTTTACCATTTGCCTTTTGCCCAAACACATAGGAGCAAAGCAGCTCACCCTGGAGGACCCACAGATGACCATGAGCCACCCCTATACCATGACGGCTCCTTATACCTCACTCCCAGCTCAGGTATGGTGGAGGGTACAGGGCTTCTAGAAGGGGAGGCTGGGTCTGGGTGAGCCCACGTGAGCTGGCTAGTCCCCCCTAGCAGGAAAAATACACAAACAAAACAGCAGTGCTTTGTTTTTGTTATTAGTCAATCAGCCAAACCAAATCCCCAATCTTAGGGTGAGTGTCTCACTTTCTACCTGGCGTTACTATCAGTGTTGGTTTTAAGGAGTGGAGAGGTGGACGTGTCTGCCTGCTAGCACGGACTTCTACTACTGATTCTGAAATTTGGTAAACAGATTTTTTGTGGAAGATGAAAATTTTGGAAGTAGTGCTTTATCATGTGAAACCACAGGGCAGCTGATCTCTTCAGATTTTTCTGATGTGAATTACAGCTCTGTTTTATTCGCTTTGGTGGGTAAAAGAAGGCAAATTTCCCTGCAGTACTTTTGGTGCCAGGTTTAACCATATGATGAAGCTTTACACAAATCATTACTTTATAACACTGTCTTCATTGTGCTTTTTGATTCTTTATGGCTACTTTCCACCTAGCGTGATGAGCTATTCACTCCAAAGTCTTTTGAGATGATAAAATGATTTGGCTGTCAGCCAAATAAAAGACTCTGTGAGGAGTCTGACTATAAAAGAATCTGTGCGCCACCCCCCCTCCCCGGTGCCAACCAACTGATCTTTGCTGAGCTGGTTGCCTTTCATCTCAGCTGCTCCTTCATATTCCTTTAGCAGGTTCATAACTACATGATGCCACCCCATGACCGAACCTGGAGGGACTACGTCCCTGATCAGCCCCACCCAGAAATCCCGTATCAATGTCCTGTGACGTTCGGATCTCGCAGCCACCACTGGCAAGGCCCGGCTTGTGAAAATGGTAAGGAGCATGCTGGGGCTGGTTTTCATGGCTGCAGCTCACCCAGCAGAACAAACCTGGCCAAAGGGCCCTGGTCTCTCCTGATCTGTCCTTCTGGGCAGTACCCCAGTTCTTTCCCCTTCTCAGAGCTGCTAGGAAAGACCTCACGTGCAGTGATGGACAGAGTGAAGGTCGTCAGGGGGAGGACTCCAGGGTTTACTGACTCCTGGCCTACTTGTGCCAGGACCTATGCTGGGAACTGCCTTACGTGAGATCTTATTTTTTTTTAAATTTCATTTTGTTATATTAGTCACCATACATTACATCATTAGCTTTTGATGTAGTGTTCCATGATTCATTGTTTGCGTATAACACCCAGTGCTCCATGCAATACATGCCCTCCTTAATACCCATCGCTAACCCATCCCCCCACCCCCTCCCCTCTAGAACCCTCAGTTTGTTTCTCAGAGTCCATAGTCACATGAGATCTTATTTAAATATCACAGAAAGGGGTGCCTGGGTGGCTCAGTCGGTTAAGTGTCTGCCTTCGACTCAGGTCATGGTCCCCGGGATCCCCCAGAGATTCCCCAGGGTCTGGGATTGAGAATCAGGCTCCCTGCTCAGTGGGGGAGTCTGCTTCTCCTTCTCCCTCTGCACCCTCCCACCCATGCTCTCTCTCTCTCAAGTAAATGAATAAAAAAATAAAAAATAAACATCACAGAAAAAAATAAAGGGGGATACTAATCTCAAAATAAGTAAATAAATAAAAATAATAAAAAACACCACAGAGATCCATCCCAAGCAACTAAAAACAGCCCCCCCTTTTTTGAGGCCAACTCAACAGAATGTAAGTAATGCTCAAAGTTACCCAGTGGAAGTGAGGGGCTGGAGTTCAACCTCAGATCTCCTCTTTCATTTAAGACAGAGGATCTCAGATGTCAAACTGGTTGGCCATATTTTTTTAATTATCTGTTTGATAGGTTAATACTTTTCATCCTCTCTGAATAATCTTTGGCAAGAAGGAATAGATTTTGTCAGTCTTCCCTCCTGGATTGTCCCTTAATGTTGTTTAGGCCAATAATCTCACTGGTCTGTTTCTTTCTACATATCTGTAAAATGGGCATCCCATAGCTGCGCCTAAACCTTCTCTCTATAGGAACATCAGGGGATTATTGACCTAGTATAGTTCTCTTAAACAAGTGTGCCCAAGGGGCACCTGGCTGGCTTAGTTGGTAGAGCATGCCACTCTTGATCTTGGGGTTGTGAGTTTGAGCCCCACGTTGGGGGTAGAGTTCACTTAAAAAAACAACAATAGTGTAGTTATTTGGGGGGCTTAGAAATGATAGTAAGAATGGAATGAATAAATACTAAGAAAACAGTCTCCGTAAGGTGACTAGTGTTGGTGTTGGGGTCCAAAGAGCTTTGTTCATTCTGGATTAGATGTGGTCCCACTCTCATAGGAGTTTCCCAGACATCAAAATGAGATCACTCAGTGGAAGCACTAATTAGCTAAGTGCAAAGAAAACTTCATACAGTGTATCAAACACAGCAAAACACAAGCTTCTAGGACTTTTGAGTTAGATATTTAAATAGAAATCCTGAGATGGGTCAAGACTCAGGTCCTTCTGTATGTTCTAGGAATATTTGGTTCTTCACAATTTGGTCAGTTCCCCTTTTTCAAATCATGTTCAGGTCACTTTTGGCTTTATGAAATTGATGAAGTATACCATCATTTAAAATTTTTTTTAGTGTCATGTTTACAAAAAAGCTCAGAGTTTGGTTTTATTAGCTTTTCAAGAGTGATTTGCAACAAGGGTTACTTTCCATTCCATAGTGGAGGAGTTAGTTAACATTAAACTGGTTTCTGAAATTCAGACTTGTGTCTAATACATCAGGCTCTATTGAACTAAGAACCTTAGTAACAAGGCAATGCCTCCAACTATACAAAAAGATGGAATAGGTAGACATATTTTGAAGCATAGTTGACATTAAAAGTGCCACCAAAATTATGTTCTATTAGATATTCTTTCTCTATTACTGTTTAATGTGACCCACAGCTATTATGCTGCCAAAACACATGGTTCAATTTTCTTCCTGAAGCCAGAAATAGAAAGCTAAATAAATGTAGACTAAACAATTTGTAAGTTTTTAACTGGGCTCTTTGGCATCAGAACTCAGGTAAACCTGAGGTCACAGCTCTCCTGTCAACTTGCTGCGTGAACAGGGATAAATCTCTCTGAGCCTAAGTTATCCTGTTTATCAGGGTAATTATGGAGGGATGTTGCTCAAAGTGTACAAACTTCCAATTATAAGATGAATAAGTTCTGGGGATCTAAAGTACATGGTGACTGTGTTTAGCAATTCTCTATTGTATTAAAAGTGGCTGAGAGAGCAGATCTTAAATATTCCCACTATACAACACACACTCACACACACACACACACACACACACAGTGGTAATTATGTGAGGTGATTAAGGTGTTAACTAACTTAAAAAAAAAAGAAAGAAAAAAATATGGAGGGATTATTTCAAGTTTCCTTCCAAAGCTATGAAAAGGCTCCTTCCTCTTTCAATCTTGTTTTTTCTGATTGGACTTCAGCTTGTCTTTGTCCCTTGAGAATGCCACCGGTCAATTCTAGAGGGCCCTTGGCCCTTTCCTTCCAGGGTTGGTGCACCCCTCAGGGGCTGAGTGGCCACATCCCAGGGAGAGGAGACCTTCCTATGTGTCGTCGGACAGACTCTGTTTAGACATCATCTGATTCTTATTTACAAATGCAGGTTGCCAGGTGACAGGAACCTTTTATGCTTGTGCCCCGCCTGAGTCCCAGGCCCCTGGAATCCCCATAGAGCCAAGCATAAGGTCTGCTGAAGCCTTGGCGCTCTCAGGTGAGTGCAGTGTTCCCTTCTAGAGGCCCCCACAGGAGGCTGGCTTCTGCTGTGGCTCCACCCTCACCTTTGGGTATACTTGATTGGGTGGGGGTGGGGAATCCCTGAGCACAGTCCATGGGCACTGGTTTTCTTCCACCTGGGGACTAGAGTGGGTATGGACACATCTGACTCCCAACCTCTGTGAATGAGGACATCATTAGAATATTTAGCTCTAAGAAGCCAGCTTTTGATTCTGATGCCAATTCTAAATGCTGGTTTGAATTGAGTCATTTTAAGGTTTCCACTGACATCTATCTGAATTTCCAGGAATATGCAAGCACCTCAGCTTTATATACCAAGGGCCCCCTTCAGCCAACATTTTCACAATGTAGTATAATTTCTTAGAAAAATACACAAGGTTTCTCATTTTGAAAAGCTGATTCCAGGTTTAGCTACAAATAGGTCTTCCCCTCTGTCATCCTGAGGACATGAGTTCTGGCTCCTTTCCATTCATATGCCTAAAAGTAGTGAGACTTGTGGTCAGTCTTCCTCTAAAATTTGATAGGTTTTGCAAAAAATTTGGGTTAGAGCTGATTTTTAAATTTTCATTTCTAAAAGAATCCCTGCAAGCTCAAAGATCGTACCTGTTTTAAGGAAGGCACCTCAAGGTTTGCTAAGCATATGTGGTGTGTATATATTTATTTTTTAGATCATATTCTGGTTGTTTTAAAATGGGACTTATAATTACATTAAAAATGAATAGCTTAAGCCTCAGAATTCTCACCTTGCCCCTTGGGCTTTTTAAAAATCAATGATAGAAAGTATAAAGTAAATTCTCAAGGTTTCTGAGAGTTGTGGTCACCTTTCTTGCTTCCAGGTTCACATTTATTTCTTTTCAGTTCTGAAGTTCTGAATGAGGCTTGCTGCCTCTCTTCTTAGATGCTCCTAAATGGTGGAGGGGAGATGTTTCTGAAGAGAAAGCCTTGTGCTTGTTTTTAGAAACTTTCTAACCCTTCTCTTAAGCACCTAAGACCTGTGTAGATGCCTGGAAAGTAGGAAATAAAAAGCTATTTATGTCACTGTGACCTCGTGATTTCTGATGACATTAAATGAAATGAAAGTCGCCTCAAATGGTCAACATTCACTGTCATCAAGTACACTGTCTGAGCTCGCTCTCTGCTAGTGTGTTTACAACAGCAGAAATTGAAGTGGAGAATTGAGACAGTGATGTGGGTTGTCTAAGTCTCAAAACCTGCCATTGAGGAATAAGAGGGTTTTGTGGGTTTCTTTTTTTGGTATGCATAATACAGATTAATTATCAACCTTGAGCACATTTGTTGGAGAACTGCAATTCCCATTCATTTTTAAATCCCATGCAGTTACGGATGGGTAGCTATTGCCTATACATGAAGCCCTTTTGCATTTCAGTTAAGGAGCCCTTTGCAAACCTAGCTTTGTCCTTTCAGTTTGTGGGTCCTATTCTGAAGAAAAATTTCATAAGTGAACTTATCTCGTTAAATGTTTTAGAAAGCACAATTACTTTCAAGGCAGATTTTGAAAGCCTAGTGGGACTTTAGCCTTAGAACATTTTTTTCATTGATTCTTTTCTTTCCACATGAATTAATTTTATTATACAAGTAGTATATACACACATAGCATAAAAACTAATGTGACAATCAGAAAAGCAAAAAAGGGAAATAAAACATCACATTCCTACCACCCAGAGATCACCACTGTTAAAGTCTTAGTGTTTATCTTTGCTGAAACTTCAATGTGCACTTGTATGTATGTATATATATATTTTTTTCTATGTAAGTGACATCATATTGATATTTTAGGGTAGTTTCCGATGCAAACATTTTGTTTATTTTTTGAAACACCATTATATTCTTTTTGCTAGTAGAAATTAAGCTTAGGGTTTACTTCCTCCAAAATCAAAACTGATTGTCATGCTTAAAGATGAATTTTGTTCAGTGGTACATGACTTAGTATTTTAGACATAACTGTTGTCATCATCGCTATAATCATCACCAAACAATGACATAAAATGTTCTTAACCAGTGGTGCTCTCTAATACAAGTCAAATATATTGTGCAGAAAACTAGTGTAAAGTGTGATCCCCCTTCACAAAAAAAAAATCTATGGTCACACAAATTTGGAAAATGCTGTTAGACAACATTAAATAGATTTCTTGCAGGATTTCCTTAATATCTCTTATTGTCTATGACTCCATGAGGGAGATGAGGGTATGCAGCATTTCCTACACTTTCTTGACCCTGGAACTTTCTACTTTTTATGGAGTATTCTGGGACACCAGTGTCCCACCAAATACACATGTTCTGGTTGAATAGTTTGGCATCCTGATGTGTATCCAATGCTCCTTGGTCCCTTAGCACTGACCGTGAAATCTCTGTGTTTACAGACTGCCGGCTCCACATCTGCTTGTACTACCGGGAGATCCTGGTGAAAGAGCTGACCACGTCTAGCCCAGAAGGCTGTCGGATCTCCCACGGGCACACCTATGATGCCAGTAACCTGGACCAGGTCCTTTTCCCCTACCCAGAGGACAATGGCCAGAGGAAAAACATCGAGAAACTTCTGAGCCACCTGGAAAGGGGTGTGGTCCTCTGGATGGCCCCCGACGGGCTTTATGCCAAAAGACTATGCCAGAGCAGGATCTACTGGGATGGGCCCCTGGCACTGTGCAGTGATCGGCCCAACAAACTGGAGAGGGACCAGACCTGCAAGCTCTTTGACACACAGCAGTTTTTAGCAGGTAATGTACCAAATTATCTGTTAGAATGGAGCGTCCCACACCTGTGAGCCTAAGAGACAGAATGGAGGGGATGACACTGTGCCTGCTACAGTGGTCCAAACAGAATGTCACTCCCATCCCAGACAGAGGTCTTCCTTCTATTAATCCCTGAGCCTGCGTGATCTGAGAATAGGTTTCCTGTTTGTTCATCTCTCACCTCTGCCTCTACCATCTGCTCCTCTCCAAAAGCAAAGGGGTGTGAAGAGGAGGGAGATTGCTCAAGGGGATTGTGGTTCAGGCTGATATCTTGAAATTCTGGTATTCAACAAATAGTCACAGACTAATAAGGTTTACACTTTATTGGCAGTATGATCTCAGCAAGCATGTCTGCTGATGTTTCAGCTTTTTTAGGGTTCCTAAGAAAATCATAAGGTTAGAAGTGTATTGTTAATATTCTTGGTTATGAGATGTGTTACCCCTAAGCAGATGCTCTCCAGCAGGTGAGACCAAGGATAGAGTATGTGGAACTGATTTTGCAAAGGGGAAATTATGAGAAGGCTTTGAGTTATCTCTATGATATGCATGTTTCAAATAATATTTTCTAAAACCAATAAGTTTTGTTTTTCTAGTTTTGATTTCATGACAATTAAATTAGCCCCACACTGGCTTTTGTGAAACCACTGGCCACATTATTGTTGAAGCTTCACCCAGAGTATTCATTTGACTATATTGATGATACCTCTTTTGGAGGGAGAAAGCTGCTCTGCCAGCTAACTGCCAACTCTTTCTGTACCTTATTCTATATCTTATCCTTAAGCTATTCTTTTATAAGTGCCCCTTCAGAAACACTCTATGTCTTCGGGTTTTCATATGCCTCTCCTTTCCCTGAATATGCTTCCTGATTCAATTTATTTAAATTAAAAATATGAAGCATCTATGTGCTTTGACACCATTGACATTTGCTTAGCCTTTGGGTTTAAGTTGCCCAAATTCGTGTAGGCTCATCCAAATTCTCTTTTGGTGCCCCGAAACAAATATGTCCTTATATGACTAACCCTTGACTAAGAGGTGTGGCAAGAGGAAGAGGGAGAACTGAGCCTCTGGTTCTCCAAGGCAGCACCAGGGTGAGAGAGGCATGTGGGCCTGAACACCCCTCCCTCCCTCTGAGCTGCAGAACTGCCTCCAAATCTGCGCCATGACTGTTTTGTCCATTCTGGGGTCCAGTGTGGTAATCATGGTGGGTACCCCAGGAAGAGTCAGGAGCTACTGAGGGGCATCTTGTGTGCACCTCTTATATCTGCAAAAGCGTCTGAAAGGGTCCACGGGGGTTTGGATCACCTCAGAGACTCTGAATCTTGGTCTCTTTGGATTCAGAAGCCACAGGGCTAGGGCTTTAGTTAAGGTATCCCAGGGGAATGACACTTGCTTCTGTGAGTTTCTCTCACTATGTATGTTTTCGGAAGTTCGAATCCTACCATTCTAAATAGGCTATAAGTTACACTTTGAGTCACAGTCACTGAGAGCTGGATACAGGCAAAAAACAGAAAGGCATGATGCACCGGCTATGAACATCTGCAGGTTGTGAATTCACTTGCCTAGAATTTAATATTTATCTGTGAACAAGAGTTGTTTTTCTTTCTTCCTCAACCCAGGGGCTGTGCTTTTTGCTCACTGCAACCTCTTATCTTGAAGTATTCACTGAGGTTCAAGGAGGAACCTGTGAACTTAAAAAACTGCAGCTGTGTAAACCAGCTTCTGCATAATCAAGGATTCCCACAGAATGTTCTCATGTTATCAAGCATTTGAGACATGACTTTTTTGGAGAATTGTGCCAACTCGCCACTCTGATTAGCTTGTGTAGGTGTAGTCTCAGACCTCAGTAGTGTGAACGCCTTTTACACATTCTGACTAAGTCAGTTAGGTTTGATTTGAATTCTGGAAGAAAAAAAAAAGCAGGAAGTCAAACAGTCCAGTGAGTTAGTTAGAAACTTTTCTTCAGTTGAAGAGAACAGTGAAGATCTTTGATATCTCCCCATTCAGGATTTGCAAACTACTAGGGACAGCCCCTAAAGGCAAAGCCCAAGGGTGCATATCTGATCAAGATGCCTGTGCATACTGTTCTGCAGAAGTATCAGCAACCATGTGTGTTTCTTTTGTGGACATGACATTTAACTCTAGTGGAAAGGAAAGAATAGGAGCAGCTAGAGGCTTAAGAGTCATCTTGAATATGGGCAAAGGGACATGGATCAATGTCAGGGATTACACATGTGTCTTTCCAACAGTCTTTGTTCTGCATCTTTAGGGTAGGAGTGGTGCCTTCAGGATAAACATATCCACAAATGTGGGGACCCCTGGTGTTTCATCACTACCTTTTTCATTTCAAGTCAATACCCGTCCCACAAGATGGACAAGAAGTCAGCTCAAAGTCCCATAGTTTAGGCTTAGTACCAAGTAGGAGACAGCTGGTGCTCAGTCTCCAAGATAACAGTAAAGCATTTTCAGTGATGCCTGAATCATGGAAAGGTCCTGAGTGGCACAGATATTGGATTATGAGAACTCAGCAGTTTTGACATAACATTTTGATGTAATCAGAAAATTTTGACTTTTTAAATGAAATTTCTCCTTTGTATAAATTATTCTTTTACCTCAACATGGCTGCATTTCTTTTCCTTTTTCTTCATCCTTCACTCCTTTCTGCTACCATTTGCACTCTCATGGGTCCAGTGCTGCAGATCAAGGTTTCTTAATCTGCCGGGCATATTTCCCTTAAAGAATCAAGTGAGGGGCGCTTGGGTGGCTCAGCTGGTTAAGCATCTGCCTTCACCTTGTGTCCTGGGATCGAGCCCTGTGTTGGGCTCCCTGCTCAGTGGGGAGCCTGCTTCTCCCTCTCCCTGCTCGAGCTTTCTCTCTCTCTCTCTCAAATAAATAAATAAAATTTTAAAAAAAGAATCAAGTGAAACCTGGAGCCCTCTCAGGAAAAGCACACCTATGAACACATACATGCAATTCTGTATCTGGGGTCTAAAAGTTAAGAACCCCACTTAGAGAAATAAAGAATACTCACTCCTATTTTAGTTTTCCAAATCAACAGTGAGCTTTTGCTTCCTGCTTTAACCTGGCATGTTCAATGATGGTTTCTGATCAGGATTTTGTTTTGTTTTGTTTTTCTCATGGGGCTTCTCCAGAGCTGCAAGCTTTTGCTCACCATGGCCGTCCCCTGCCAAGATTCCAGGTAACTTTGTGCTTCGGGGAAGAATTTCCAGATCCTCAGAGGCAAAGGAAGCTCATCACTGCTCACGTGAGTATTTAGTCACATTCAAATGATTGAGTTTCCTTGTTTTTCATCAAGGGCGGGGTCTCAGAAAAGTCTCAAATGAAAAGTATATGTCAAGTGACAGGAAAATCATGAAGGAGGAAGCATGGCCCAGTGAATGGTGCAGGCAGCACAGCCCAGGGACCCACATGTTTTTCCCAGCTCTAGAGGTCTACTCATCACAAACCGGCAACCCTGGGCTTTATTCATCCCATCTTATGTAGAGATCAAGACGTTGTCCTATTCCCATTTTATAAGGATTTAAAAGGACTAGTGATAAAAGTTGCCCTTTAAAATTTTCCATATTTAATATTGCTTTTAAAATGCTGTCTAGCTGACCTTCACTTGATGGAGAAGCTTTTCCCAAATGGGAAGCTGTCCATTGACCTATGTATTTTGCAGTCCCCCCAAATTTTTCCCAAGTCCTCTTTTATTTCTGGATTTTTAGAAATTATTTAACTAATGGAAACCAAGGGTCATGTGTTATTTGGAGGAGGTTAACTCTGTCAAGAAATTTAAGTAGATCAGTGTTCTCTAGCAGAGTTTAAAATAGGGTCAACTGTAGCACGTAAACATCTTTTTTATAAAAAGTTTGTAAAGATAACATTTGGAATAAATTTGCCACAGAAAACAGAGTTTTGAATACCCAAGATTTTGAATTTGAAAACTTTACATTGCTACATACTTTTGAGAGTTAATAATGGGCCTAGACAAAAGCAGTAACAGGTAAGAAAAAAATCAGTCTGACCCCAGAAAGTGTTCCACTTTGGGAGATGTTAGGAATCAATCCACTGGCTGTGTGGAGACCTACCCTGGGGCCCGAGTTGAGGGTGAGCTCTAGGGTGAAGCTCAGGGTTAGGGTTTGGTTTGAATAGAAACATTCGGGTCATATTTTAGTTCTCATAATGTTTTTTAATTGATAACTGAAATAAAACACTATCTAATTTTAAACACACAGTCCCCCCCTTGATTGTAAAATCAAAAACCAACCAACCAAAAGACTTTAGAGCTTTTTCTTGAATTCTCTCCAGTAATTGATATAATAATTGATATCTTCTTAACACCTAGGATTGTTAAATGACTAAATAAACTTGGTATTGATAAATGATGTTTTGAAAGTTGGTGAAAAACTCCTGCATCCGTCTGACTTTAAGGGTGTTTTGGGTGCACTAGCCCTCCTCTGAGTTAGGCAACTATGTGTTCCTCAAGCAAGGGTCCCTGGAATTGAGTTGTCTGGGATGCAAAAGAAAAACTGGTATGTGTACACCCAGGAGTTCCTACTCCCTTTTATTATGGGTTTAATTTATTTCAGGTATTTCATATGAATTATGCTTAAGTTTCTATATATCAAGTAACATAAAGGCTCAATTTAATAGCAGAATTGATTAACAAAGTATTCAATTTTCTTAGATGCTGTAAATTAAGGAAATTCTGAAAGCTGAATTTATTTTAGTGAATATGAACCACATAAATAGCCAGACTAGATGAACTTGAGGTCAATTAACCTCTCTTTCCCCATAATAACAGTGTTGTTGTTTGTACAGATTTTGCTCCTTCCTTTTTCCTTTATCTTAGAAATATACAGATTATCTAGGTCATCCAGGAATTGTAAATTGTTCAGGATTTACACCCTCATCCCTGTCAAACTGTGGTTGTGGAAAAATTCATTGGCCTAAATTATTCTGAGTTACCTCAAACTTCATTAATCACCTCAAACTTCCTTTTAATTTGGTCATTTTACCTGATTTGCTTATGCTTAGTTAAACATAAATTTTAAGCAGCTATTAATTTAAAAATACCACCTTTGACTTTAAGTATAGTAAAAACTCAGAATTAAGTAGAGTTGGTTTTTAGGTTGGTATATGTAAGGGCTAACAAAAAATTGCGTCTTCAGAACATTTTGATTTGTATAGCACCTAACCTTGGGTTTAACTTTACCATATCTTCAGATATTGAGTTATTTAATGATAAGCCAATTACAGGATGTTAAGAAGAATATTTCAAAAATATCTTTTTAAAATCTCTTATTAAAGGTCGAACCTCTACTAGCCAGACAACTATATTATTTTGCTCAGCAAAACAGTGGACATTTCCTGAGGAGCTATGATTTACCTGAACACATTAGCAGTCCAGAGGATTATCACAGATCTATTCGCCACTCCTCCATTCAAGAATGAAAAATGTCAAGACAAGTGATTTTGTTTCATTGTAAATATCTGACTTTGACAGGAACAGCTGACTGAACTCCCTCTTTTTCTTTTGAGAAACTTGGAAATTGGGGCTTCAATTCAACACTTGAGGAGAATCTCAGCAAGAATGAGTGTAAAAAAACCAGCTCCATCTAATTGACAGATGAGCTTATTCCAAAAGGAAGGACAGTTTTCAGGGTCTTCCGTAGACTGTCATCTTTGATGATTACTGTGAAAATTGACCAAAGGGTGTGTTTACATTTACTCAAATGCTATCTTTAATTTGATGTGGATTATTTCTTGCTTGAAAACTGAGAAAACTTGTGTTTCAGTATTGACCACTAACTAGAGGGATAAAAGCACATAAGTGTTGTACTATTTCTCAGGGAAATAATATCTCAATTTGAGGTGACTCTGCCCACAAAAGAAATGTATCAATGCACATAGAAGATGTTGCTCTTGTAGAAAATGCTTGCTGTTAGAAAGAGAATCTTTGACTGAGGTTGGACCACAGTGCCTCCAGCTTTGGGGTGGCTGATCACCCCACCTGGCCTGGGTCTCACCCCAGCACGGACTTCCCTGCCCTGTCTCACACTGCCTCCCATTTGCTCTCTCTCCTTGGGTGCCCCTGGAAGCCAGTTGGTATTTTCTGGAACCAAAAAGCATTAGGACTAATTCATTGGCCTAAATTATTCTGAGTTACCTCAAACTTCATTAATCACCAGTTGATTAGCATATTTGATTAGCATATTTTTGTCAGTCCTACAATCTTTTAATGACTGCTTAAGATATTTTTTGTTTGTCTTTTTGTCTCTCATTCTGTAGAGATTGTTGTTAAAACTTTTTTCTTAAAAAAGAAAAAAAGATCAACAATCCAAGTACTAAAGATACATTTTTGAAACTTGGTGACATTTCCCCTCTTACCCTGTTTGTTTTGTTTGGCTATCAGTTAGTTATCCATGACAACACTAAAGAGGAGGAGCTGATGCTTTTCAATTTGGTGAACTCTGTTAGGAAAGATGATGACAGGATTTCACTGATTGCATAACTGCAGACTCAGTGGACTGTTTTTGCTTATTTTGTATATTATATGCTTCCTCATGCCAGTATGGTTTAACAGGGCCTTAAAATTACTGGGTTTTTTCCAAATACATCTTTTTATAGAATCACTAAGATATCTACTTGCTTAAGTAAACCTGATCACTTCCTTGTTGATTGTTTTGGAAAAGTACAGATATTTAGACTGAGGCTGGCAACTGATATTTTTATCATACTACAAAAAAACTGCTATTACTTTCAGCCTCAGCAAGAGACTTAGCAGTTCTCAAATATATGCCACTTTTTTTTATTATGTTATGTTATGTTAGTCACCATACAATACATCATTAGTTTTTGATGTAGTGATCCACGATCCATTGTTTTCATATAACACCAGTGCTCCATGCAGTACGTGCCCGCCTTAATACCCATCACTGGGCTAACCAATCCCCCCTCCCCCCTCCCCTCTAAAACCCTATTTGTTTCTCAGAGTCCATAGTCTCTCATGGTTCATCTCTCCCTCCAATTCCCACTCCCTTCATTTTTCCCTTCCTTCTCCTAATGTCCTCCATGCTATTCCTTCTGTTTCACAAATAAGTGAAACCATATGATAATTGACTTTCTCTGCTTGATTTATTTCACTTAGCATAATCTCTTATTCTAATCTATATTTTTAAATTCATTCAACAAACTGTATCCTTTGCATTAGACAGATTATATATAGCCTTTATCCAGTTTAGTAAGCAATGGAACATTGGAATGTTATTTTTTTAACTTCTAAAAGGAGTTTTTTTTTTTTAAAGGATTTTATTTATTTACTTGAGAGAAAGAGCAAACGAGAGAGAGAGCAGGAGCAGGGAGGAGAGGCAGAGGGAGAGGGAGAAGCAGGCTCCCCGCTGAGCAGGGAGCCCAATGTGGGACTCGATCCCAGGACCCCAGGATCATGACCTGAGCAGAAGGTAGACGCTTAACTGACTGAGCCACCCAGGCGCCCCAAGGAGTTTTTAATGATAGCATAATACATATTAACGACAGAAAATGTAAATAATATAGACAGGCAAAAATTAAGCAACATCCTCTTTCTTTTTCCCAGCCCAAATCCTGCTCCCTTGAAATAGCCACAAGAAGAGTTTGACTTATTCTTCCAATACACTTCACTTCTCTATAGATATACATCAGCTCAAAAAAACCTCATAGGATCATCTTGCAGCCACTTTCATGCAGTGCTCTCTTAACCTAACAATACAGATTTACCTCACTCTTTTTAGAGGCATTGTCATTGTAGAACTCCACCGCCATGCAGTCCATAGCACAGTTTAAGGAATTTCATCAGCCGCTAAAAGTGAATACGCATGGGCAGCAGATTATATTTTGTGAATTGCAGTAATTTATACATCTTATAGATGCAAAGTATTTTAGGATATATTATCCTAAGGGGGATTTGAAAACAAAATTAGAACCACTGTGACACAGGTCCCAGTGTATGTGGCCCTCTTCCTTGGAGAATATTTAACCCCATGCCAGCGCTTCAGAGTTCTCTGGTGTCAGTCCCAGGGGTGCTGGGTCTTCTGAATTCTCAAAGTAGATGCTTGATTTCTATTGCTGTTGCAAATTCTTTTCTTTCTTCTTTCTTTTTTAATATTAAGCTGCTTTAACACTGGAGTTACCTTTTCTGGAAAATACTCTTGGCTTGGGCCACTTCCCCCTTTCTCATCTTTAGTCCCATATACTTTGACTTTTTATTTTTATTTTTTTAATTTGGAAGAATCGAGACTATGAGCTAGTGAATGAATTATGAAATAATCAGGGTAAAGAATCCTGACAGCTATCTCAGGATTTTGAAAATGAATGATTGCCTCATTCCTTGACTTGATAAAGTAGAATTTAGTTTGTTCTCAATTGAAGATATGATAGAAGAGTTTAGGCATTTATTATGCTAAAGAGCTTTAGACAGCAAGGTTAAAAAATGTGTAAGTCTCACAGGTGCATGTTCTAATGGCTTGTTTCTTGTTCTTTGGATTTAATAAAACAGTGGGCGGTTGTTGATGTCTTCTGGAACACTGTAAAGAACCAGGGTGACCAACCCATTTAAAACCCAAACCTTGGAACCCCCTCAGTCCCAGGCAAAACAGGACAGTTATCGCCCTATAGAGAACCCAGCAAGACTGTTGCCTGGAGCTAGGAAGACACTGTTCCAATGAGAGATAAAATTTAAAATCCTGCATGGAATAAGCAACATGACAATATGGTTATCACTAAAGCACAGATATGCCCAGTTTTGTGTTTAGAAAAAGACACACACTGGGCTAAGGTATGAACAAGGTTTTCTTTGCATGTCACTGTGTGTGAACCCCAGAGTTGTTCCAACTCTGGGGGTCTTGGTGCAGGGTCTGGCATGGGCTTTTGCCTGAGAGGCTGAGCAATAGGTGGACATGCATCCCCAGAGAATCCTTGCTTATGTGTTGGCTGTAACAGTGAACATCAATTTTTTTTCTAGCAAATGTTTTTTTAGTTCAGACTCCCGTTTCATTCCTCCTTGATCACATTTCTCCCCTTTCTCCACAGGTAAATGTTTTCCTGGAAGTGGTGAGCTTCCTTAAAGTCTATATTTTTACTATATATCTCCCTAGTTTATAGCTGACTGGCATCTATTTAAATGTTGCATTAGGGCTGTCCTGCCATATGCATTGTTCTGCAACTTACTTTTCTCATAGCTCCATCTTTGAGATTGATCAATGTCAATGTAGGTGGGTCTCATCCATCTCTTGCTAACGGGTGTCAAATAGCTTGTCACATGAATGCAGTGAAGGTCGATTTTCCTGGTATTTATTTTCACTGCCTTTAGGAAAGCACGTAGGTGAAGTGTAGTTGAAGTGAAGGAAAAGAAAGGTGGGATGTGGACAAGAACCGAAAGTCCAGCAGGCCAATCCTCCTCCAATATAAACTCATGTTTTGCTTTAGACTCTGAGATGGAAGGAACCTAATGGGTAGTGGGATTCATTTCCCTGCACTCCGTCTGTATAAGTGGCTAGGACCAAGCAGCTCCCTTGACGTCAGTCCAAAGCTATGCTGGTTCCATCTTGCTGCTAGGCCTCCCAGGCAAGGGTGTCTAGAGAACTAGGCAGATCATTGCATGGGACATGATTGTACATAATAGTGTCATGAATTTTGGTGTAAATTGCTTTTCAAAAGATTGATATTCATGACAATCTGGTGTTTTATGTAGTTGTTAAATAAAGACTTTTTAAAAAATTAATCTGTTATGAGCTGTGTGTGTTATTAAACACTCATCTTGATAGCTTTTAAAATACTTCCTCCTTCTGTTGTGTTCTTTCAGAGAGGTTGCTTCGGCAGCCTGCTTCCTTCCTGGTTGTCATACGCATCCGTAAAATCAGATCTCAAAGTGCTCTGCTAGTTTAAAAAAAAAAAATAGCAAAACTTGTCCCAGCATAGGGCAGTTTCTCCAGCCCACGGAAACACATCTAAGGAGAGTACTGAACAATCCTTTCCTTCTTCTTCCTTGTGTGTTTTAAAAGGTCTAGTAGACCCAAAGAAATTGTTACTGTTTCCTTTTATATTCATAGCTTCTTTGATTTTGCCGTTGTTGTTAAAGAGGAGGGGATGTAGGTTAACCAGCATCCGGAATGTGAGATATAACATAAAACTCTGTGTAGTAAAAGAGCCTATCAACTGCTTACAAGTCTAGTGGGAACACTAGAAGGACAGGGCTGCAGCTTGTGATGTTAAAAACCTTGCAGCCAAAGACTTCGTGGAACTGTGAGAAATGTTTGTAATCTGTGTCTAGGAGCCCCAGAATATTAGCTTAGAATAATTTTGAAATTTTAAAGTGGTAATCAAATGAAGCTAGTGGGAATATAAACTATCGTACTGCTTTTTGGGGCTTCATCTGCTCAACAAGTGTGGATGAACTTGAGTCAGTATATATAAGCAAATTTTTTCAAATAGTATATTGACTCTTTATGTCTAAAAAAGAATTTCAAAGAGATTTTTTTAAAAAGATTTTATTTATTTATTTGACAGAGAGAGAGAGAGAGAGAGAGCACAAGTAGGCAGAGTGGCAGGCAGATGAAGAGGGAGAAACAGGCTCTCCGCTCAGCGGGGAGCTAGATGTGGGGCTCGATCCCAAGACCCCAGGATCATGACCTGAAACGAAGGCAGCTGCTTAATGGACTGAGCCACCCAGGTGCCCCAAGAATTTCAAAGAGATTTTGAGCCCTTGAACTTGTTTAAGTAATTTCACACCTCCCTCAGGTACCGATGTTTACAAGCCTTTCTTTATACAGTGCAAGTTTGACTGTATTGGGTTTAGTTTCCTTAAAGCAAGTATTACTTTGACAAATAAATAGTTTCACATAAAGTGCACTCCAGTGTTTATTGATGCCAGAAAAACATCATCAAGTTCTACATCATCTGGAAAGACACTCCAGGGGTCATAATATCTCATTTTTTTCTAGGACAGTCTATTCCTAAATTAACTCAGGCAGATAGATATCTTCAGAATTAGTGAAGAGTATGAATTATAGGGTGTTATAGGTACCCTTTAGTGACCTCCAGGTCACCTTCCATGACCCCTGCTCCTGCTAGTTTGACAATATGCTGTGACAGATGGCTATCTTTAGATATTTCCTCTGTCATCTTTGTTTAGCCCATCTGTCTATCATAATCAATTTTAAAGTTCATTTTGACCCTCTCCTTGAGTGACTGTTCAAAAGTTTGGAATCTGTATAATTCAAATTATGAACATTTTATTATCTTCAAAAGCTGCTGTTTCTCTACTTCAGGTAAATTATAATTCTCAGTTCTTTCCATTTTTTTCATAGGCTTAGGCATGATGGTGGCTTTAAAGAGAATCATTCCAACAAATATAACTTCCTTTGCCTTTGTTTTTCCTCTCCTTCTGAGTCAGGTTTCCATAGCAATCTTTTTCTGGAAGAAAATCAGCAAAAGCATCTGAAGCCTCTACCTTTATTTCTTGCCATTCCCCATTCTGATTTCACACTCCGGTTCTGCTGAACTATTGCAGTGCCCAAAGGCACCTCTCTTCTCTCTCCCGGAAGACTTCTCCTGCTGCTACCTGGTCACCTGGCTAACACCTTTTTCCCTACTAAGTCTTAGCCATGACATCTTCTCTTTCTAGAAACATTTCTTCAACTTCTATGACTAGGTTAGTAGGCTTTTTTATTTGTACCTTCTGTTTGGCTCTGTAAAGGATCATGTTGTTGGAGTATTGAGAAGAGAGTTCCCCACTATTTACACTCTCCCCTCTGATTATTCCCAGTTAGGCCATCATTGCTGCGGCAGAAAGAAAATAACTTGGCTGTCTGCTCCTGGCATTCGTCTTCTAAAG